TTTTTTTGTAAAATTGTATAATTTTGTAATGGTTAATAAGTTGTTTGCAACAATAGCATTTTTTTAAAAGAATTTTGAAAAGACTTTTTCTATCTAAAATTTTCTTTTAGCATAACGAAAACAATTAAAATTCCAACCCCCTCCTCCTTATTTTCAGACTGACCTTTCGCGGCGAGTACTCTTCCGACCATGGCTGGGCCAACATAACGGCGTTTTTCTTTGGCCTCTTGCTTGCCTTGGACAGAAGTTTGGTCGGCGGTGGGTTACTCCACTTTCCAGCCAAGGTTGGGGCCGATGATGGAGGCATTCGATGGCGAGACTCGCAGCCTTTTTGGCTTCTAGTCTCTTCCTGATCTAGGACTTTTGGAAGCTCGCATATGAGCTTGAGTCCTTTTTGCATGCCAGCTATGCATAGCCTTTCGAGTTTGATCGGAGTTTACAGGTTTGAAAGATCTAGATTTGTTGATCATATTTCATTTTTGGATCTAGGAATTTATGTACATAATTAAGACAGAGTAGCAGCTGCAAGAGGACCTCTATAAGTGGGGCAGATTGTATCCTAATTTTGTTTGTAGATATATGTATTTTTATATATTTTTCTCTTTTTTTGTTATGTGTTTTTGGTAATATCGGTTCATGTCATGTCTTAGTAGTTTCTAGTTTTTGGGTTTTTTTGTCTCCCCTTATGGGGTGTTTTATTAGTACGTTGTTCCTCTTGGTTGTCTATATAATCTCAAAATGGTTTAGGTTCAAGCTTTGTACTGGTCCGTATAATGTCAGTTGACATCTCGATTGTATTTTTTTTTATCTATTAATATTATTTGAAAAAAGAAAAAAAAAATCGATTAACAACAACATATGAATAACAATCCGTGTAAGCCCATCAATATTTGTTACAATTGAGTTGGACCTTTTGATTGGGTTATGAGAAAATCTCTACAAACAAGCCCCATGGATAGGGCTAGCTAACAAGGCCTTTAATTTTGGGGACTAAATTAAAACCTCAACCTCTCATTTTTTTTTTTTGCGAGCTCCGAAATTTATCATAATTGTAATCGCGATTATGTTTTTTGCGGCTCAAGTATTTCCATAAACTCATTTGCTACTAATTTTTTATTTATAATTTTGTATTTAAACATAGCAATTCACAATTATAAATCACTAAACGTATTTAAAAATATATGCCCTAGCAATCGCACAACAATACCTGCTCGATATGTTCGAATTCAAACACCGGTGATTTTATATCATATCCGTATTGGTTATTTGTATTGTGCTTCAAATTGTCGCCCTCCAAGTGCTACATCAGATCGGACATGACCAGATCATCTGAGAACCGTAACTCTTAACTGATGTAAATTTCGTCATATATAAACAAACTCGTGTAGATCGATCTAAACTTCTTTCGTTCTCAAAATGCACAAACCGAGCTATTAACTCACCATCCGAGGTGTCTATTGAGTGACTTTCAAGACGTTATGGGGCTATATAATTGTCAATTAATAAAAAAATAAAAAATAATTGAAAATAAAATAGTTTAATTGGATCTAATCACTCTCTCAATCAATAGTTGAGGCCTAATTGTGTTGCCCACTGCATATCAAGATTGGGTAGGCACGTGGGCTTGCGGGAGATCCAACCCAATAAGAGTGGGGTTTAAGTCTTTAAAGCTCACGTGTGTCACGTGCCTGATAAATCATAATCCCCTCCAACTCCTCGTGCTCTGATTCTTTGTTTTTTTCTATTTTTTTTTTTCATTTTTAAACTATATAATTTTTATCTTTTTTCAATTTCCATGGATTCATAGTCCATAGGTCAATTGTAAGCCCAATGTTTACTCTGTAATTAATGATAGTATTTCGAAATGTAAACGAGAGTTAACGAGCAGATAAAAGAGTTCGAGTCGAAAAATACTTAAAAGCTCGTATTTATCAACCTCACCAAACTTTAACGTGACTAGACAAACTTGACTTATTAACTAAACGAATCGTGAAAGATTTCGAATCAAGCGAGTTTGGCTGAACTCGAGCTAAGTTGTAATAAGTTCGGGAATATTAATGCATATAATCATTCATCATATATTATGTATACTATACCCTCCTTTTTGAATAATCACAATTAGCAGTCATGTGAGCCTGCATCTATCAGTCATATCATATTCTATGTAATTAACAATTAGCATAACATACAACAAAATATTTGTATTTTTTTTTTTGAAATCATGTTTGTGACAGTTTGAAGTTTTATAAAATAGAAAAGAGAAGCCATTTAACTTCACCAACTTTGCAAATTTTAAAACTTTTGTAGTAATAAAATTGTAAATAAGAAATTGGATGCAATTTATGAGTATCTCCTAGATAGAAGCCATCATTTAATAGGAGACTCAAGTCATCTCATCTAATCGCTCTAGGGTAAAAAAAAATAAAAAGTAAAAATAATAATAATTTGAACACCTTTGGACACATTGGCCCCATATCTTATGTGAAATTGGAAAACTGGTCATATTATGTATTTATGTATTTTAGAATTTTACCATCATTTCAAGAGATTTTGCCTTTTTTCTCCTATTTAATTTTTCTCTTTTTCAAATTTCCAGGTTTTGGAAGTACGAAACATTGACCGACAAAAAGAAAATGGGAAAACAAAATTAATTATTATTAGAATTTGTTACTCCCTCCTTTCTTAAATAAATGTCGTTTTGACTTTTTTGATTCATCCATTTTGCTATGTATCTAGACATATTTTATGTCTAGATACATAGCAAAATGGATGAATCAAAAAAGTCAAAACGACATTTATTTAAAAAAGGAGGTAGTACGAGATTATGCTAATTTAACTACGAAATAAATGAAATTAAATTGTAATCTATTGTTATAAACTTATACGGAGTAATTAATAACAATAAAATCATTCATGAGATTACACAAATATAAAATTATATACCTAATTAATATTTATATGATCCCTTTAACATGTCACTAAGTTCTACACAGTTCATGATCAACACCACTTATTGAAGCAATTATATTATTTGATAGCTTATGCATAATTTCTGGAAATTTGCTTAATTGCAAGTCCACCGACTATTTATGTCACTAAATAAATAAATAGATCAATAATAATAATAATAATAATAATATATATGATAATTAATTAACAAAGAAAATGTTTTTTTAAAGCGTGCGCTCGAAGTAAGGAGCTGCAAACGCGTTATGCCTTATAACAAGCAAAC